AAAGAAAGAAAGAAAGAAAGAAAGAAAGAAAGAAAGAAAGAAAGAAAGAAAGATAGATTTTACTATATAAGATTTAAAGGGGAGCAGGAACTTTAAGGAAAACCCCTAAGAACATTCTATCTATTAAGACTACATAGAACATATAATTAAATAATCAATTAAAGAGGAACTTCCCTATACCCTCAGATATTAACCTTCATTACAATTATAGGGTAGAAAATAATTCCGTTTGTTCGTATAAGACACAGGCTATATTATTAAGAAATGCTACAGAACTCTTCTCTAGATATTCATAGGATTATTTGACTCAAAATAAATTAAAAGTATGCTTGAACTTTATCTAAAATACTACAGGAAATACACTTACAATTTTTTAAAAACATGGCATTTGATGTTGGGGATCACTCTATTTATTTTAGGATTGTTTAGACCCAAGCAGTCTGACAGTTGTATTTATACTTTTTAATTGATCACCATGGGCAACGTAAGCCAAGGCTCGCTACCACCGTAAGAACAGAATGCAGACCTGTCTTCTATCTCAGTATTGCTCGCAGCTCTTGGGCTCGCAAGGTCACTTAAGATACAAAAACAATGAATCTCAAGTATACCATATTGGGAAGTAAGAAGACTGAAGATTAGCTTTCACTGGGCTTAAACAAACACGCTCCTCAGGAAAACTATGCTCAGGAATGCTAACCATTCTGGTTGAAAAACCCCATCTCTAATCTGTCCAGTGGATTCTGACTTTAAGAAAGAAATTTAAATGGATCTCTAAACAAGCAGCTGATGCAAAATGGAAAATATGAGAGCAACCCATTAGGCTAGAGGAATGCTGCCACAAATGTTGAAAAAAGTTAGGGTGAAGGAAAGGACATTTTTCAGTTAAATGATTTAAACAGCTGAAAGTTGCTGTACTCAACACAATATAAGCAGTATCATGCACTTTGCTGTATCTCATGTGACATTTCAAGTAATCTTTATTTCACAAATGCTGGCTTTTGGGCACAGTTATCTTCTAGCACAATGGAGCAAAGGATATTGGATTTTTATTTCTAGAATACTATTTTAACAAAATAGATAGCGTTTGTACTACTGAATCAGGCCATGACTGATTTAGCTCCCTATTTTCCATCCTGACTCTCCAGAATTTCAGGCAGAAGTTCTTTCCAACCTGAGACAGAACTTGCAATCTTCTGCATGTCAAACACACACTCCATTTAGCACTGAGCACCACTCCATTCCCAGTTTAAATGACATAATTATACATACCCACTGAAAAGAAATCATTCTCCAAACAAACAAACGAAATTCATACAAAGAAATGGAAATTAGGGCTTTCTAAAGCTGAGCCTCACTATGCTTGGAGGCAATCAGAAACACTAATTAGAATCAGACATTAACATGATAAGAAGCTACATTAACTTCATTCACCTAAGCACGTTTTCATTCTATACTTTCCACCAAAAAATGAGAAAACATTCTGAAAAAGAGGCCAGCAAACTTTAAAATGAACAAGCATTGCCATGCAAAAAAATAATTGTGTGTTTTTAAATCTAACACTGGTTCACAGAAGGTAACAGCACTGAAAAGGTGAGTTCTCCATTTATGCTCATCATGAGTATTAATATCATGACATAGCCACCCTTGCACTACCATTGCTATCTCTGGATACACACCACAAATAATCACCAGATTTTCAACAGTGAATTAAGCTTGATAATTGTGCGCCCTTTTCCCCGACTGGTAAGCATTGCTCTAAATCTACACATTTCACTCAGCTGATCAATGTATTATTGTTTGGAAAAGTCAAAAAAACCTTTTAGCACATATACCTGTTTCTCCCCACAAAGTATCTGTTTCATTGATGTCAATTTCAGGCTCCTCATCAATTCTTATCAAAAAACGAATGACCTAAGAGAAAAATGAAAAGAAACGGAGGGAGGAAGAAAGGAAAGGAAAAAAAAGAAAACAATGGATGAAATCCATCAAATCACAAATTTGCTCAACTGTTGCACTTCATTACAGTGAATAATGCGTCTGTAAACATTGGGCTTCAGTTAAAGGGCATATTATACATAAATTGTACGAATTAGATCAACAGCAAAGCTAACATAGAAGTAGCCTGTGTATGGAGCAGGTCTTTCTGCCTTTTAACTTTGAAAATTTCCGATTTGAAACATCCAATATTAATCAACTACAGGTAGTCCTTGACTTACGACTATTCGTTCAGCAACTGTTCAAAGTTACGAACACGCTGAAAAAAGTGACTTACGACCAGTGACAGAAGTTGTAGCTGTTGCAGCACCCCTGCAGTCACATGATTGAAATTTGGGTGCTTGGCAGCCCGCCCATACTTATCACCGCAGGGGCGCTTCAACAACCCCCATCTGTCTATCTCCCCCCATCTATGCCCTATTGGCTCCCTGCCGCTCTCCGCTGTGTCACCCCAGCTGACCTTTGCCATCTTCTTGCTCCGAAAAGCCCCTTTGCAAAAAGTTCCTGGGTGGGGCTGGGTGGGACTTTTGCTTTGCATTGTGGGGGGAAAAAAAGCACCTCCTTCCTTCCCTCTTGTTGTCTTCCCCTGTGGGTAGACCGGCCTGCTCCCAGGAACTTTGGGCCTCTGGCTGTGATAGGTGGGTAGACCAGGCCCTCCCAGCCCCCTTTTGACCCTATCCCTTCCATTTTCCACAGGTAGACTGGTCCTCCTTCCTGAGAAGGTGGGCAGACCAGTCCCACCTTTGGCTGCTTGATAGACCAGGCCAGCCACAGCCCTCCAGAGCTAAACATTTTTGGTCACTGCCCAAAGCAAACAAAAAACCCCCCAAAAAGCAGAACCTGAGCAGCACTGTGCCAAAATGCCCCTTTGAAAAAAGCTCCTGGGTGAGGCTGGGCTGGGCTTTTTTTCCCCCTTCCCCTGCAGTGCAAAGCAAAAGCCCCACCCAGGAGCTTTTTGCAAAGGGGCGTTTTGGAGCAAGAAGGCGGCAAAGGTCAGCTGGTGGGGCGAACTGCAGGGCAGCAGGGGTCTCGGAGTGGATGGCAACGAGGGCAACTGTAGTTGGGCTGGGGTGCCTGTGGCTTCCTGAGGTGTGGCCGTGTGGTTCTGGGGCTGCTTGCCACCCCACAAGGCAGGGTGCAGGGAGGCCAGAAGGACAGAGATGGGGGGTAGATGGGGTGGGGGGAGTTGGAGGCAGTCCCTTATTATACTGAGGCTCAAGGCTGGGAGGGACCAAGCCCAGAATGGCTTGGATTGGGTGGGTACTCACTTAACGACCCACAATTCTCGGTTAAAGGAACTGCCAGGATTGCAGTCGCTAAGTGATGCAGTCATATTTACAGCTGCATCGCTTAACGACAAAATTCCAGTCCCAATTGTGGTTGTAAGTCAGGGACTACCTGTAGAAGATCATCAGTAGTGGGCAACAGATTTTTCCCAGAAGGCAACATACCTACTATTGGTATCTTATTCCCTGCCATGTGCAGCTACAGGAATACACTTATTTTTCATAAAAGTGACAATAAGTCCAACAAACCTTGGCATAAAAAAAAAAATCAAGCAGTTCTATGGGAAATGCTTGGATGATTCTCAGCATAATGCCCTTGAAGTTTGAAACCACTGCTAACATACAAATACAACCTTAAAAGCATAAGAGGTATATTCAGTGTTTGACTTGTGTTCTGATGATTATGTTGAACTTCATATGGAAGACAACTGGATTGGTTTTGGATGGTTTTGTGGAACTTCATATGAAAAAGAAATTTGGCTGATGTTAAATGCACATGATACAAGTAAGTAAATGTGGTACAGTGTTAGAGAAATAAAGCTGGGGACTTCAGGTTCAAAATCACCCAAATAAGTGGGTGATGTTGAGGGTGACTTTCAGCTACTATCTCTCAGCCTAACTTACCTTACGAGATTGTTCCAAGTGTCAACACTCCAGCAACAGTCAAGACTGGAAATGAACCACCAAGGAACAAGACTGTCTAAGCCATATGTGTCAAACTCAAGGCCCGCGGGCCACATCCGGCCCGGCGTGTAATTATATCCGG